CAGAGGCCCTGCCCATGTCTTGTCCCCCGTGGGCCCCGAGACAAGCATAGCCTGTGGGGGTGCTCACGCCAGATGTGTGAGGGAGGACGGCGGTGAGGCGGCGTGTGTGTCCTTCTGTCCAGGAGAGCCTGGGTCCTCCAGGAGCCTCCTGGCTAAGGACAGGGACCAGAGGCCCTGGGCTCACTAGCGCTTCTCAGCTCAAATCTGATGTGAAAGCCAGGAGACTTCGAGTCCCCCGGAGACAGCTCAGTGTCGTGTTCAAGCATCAGTGCGGAGAGTGCCTGGCACGGGGCAATCCCACCTGCTGTCTTCCTTTCTCACGTGGTTTCCTCCCTTTTCCTCTCTGATGATGCCTCCCTCCCCAGGTGCGTGTGAGATCTTTGCTGGAGAGGCAGGTGCACTCGCAGACCGGCAGGCGGTGCTCGAGGACTGCTTGAGGGCTGACACCCCCCCCACTTTGTGTGTTCTGTTCTGTTGTTCAAGTTCAGAACGTAAGTAGCTGTTAGCAAATTTCTCTCTGGAACAGAAGAGTCAGGCTTTGACTCCAAACAAAACCAGTGAGAACAACAACAACAACAAAATCAAGAGCATGGACAAATCTTCATTTCTTTTAAGTGACTTCCAGAAACTTGGCTGAAGGAGTCCCCCGCAGACCCCAGCTTCCGGGGGTCTTGTGAAAATGCAGCAGCCTGAGCCCAACTGGACCAACTGGTCAGAGCCTCTGCGGTTAGAGCCAGGACGTGGCTGTCATCAGCTTCCCAGGTTCTGATGCGGCCGGCCCAGCCTGGGGTCCCCTGGGGGCACCGCCGACCAGGCCATGGCCCTCGAACTCCCTGTGCATGCAGACCACCCGGGGGTCTTGCTGAGCCGTTGACTCCGATGGCAGGTCGACTCCCGGGTGGTTCCTGAGGTCGCTGGTCTGTGGGCCCCGTCGCCTTGAGAAGCCAGAATCTGGAGCTGGGTTGGCACCAGCTGCTTTGCTCACAGCCGTCTCTTCTCTGGTCCGTTCCCCCACCCGCTGCAGGGCGTCACCCAGCACAAGCCACAGTGCCTTGGGTGTCTCCCTTGGCTGCAGAGTGGAAGGCACGCTCCCTGTGTCTTCTGCCTCCTGTGAGCCGCTCAGGGCGCGGGCAGCTCTTCTGTCTCCCAGCCCCCGACGGGAACTGTCTGCGCGTGGGTTCTGGGCAGCAAGCACAGCGTGTTCCTGGTGTGCCCGCTTCCAGCTGTCTGGCAGTTCCTCCCCCTCGCTTCCAGCACGCCCTTCTCACCCGGCCTCTCGTGTCCGCGGTCCTCAGGCCTGGCCCCACTTTTCTCCCGTCTGCTCCCACGCATTCTCCTTGGACGATCTCAGCTGTGCTCTTGGCCTTAGCCGGGGATGTGGGGCCAGATCCGAGACACAGGGCCAGCTGGACCCTCCTCCTTTGTCGTCAGCTGTCTCCTGACACCGGGATGTCCTTGACAGCGAGTGTCTCGTGTTCACAGTCTCCTGCCTCCCGCCCGCTGACCTCTGCTCTGCATCTGGCCCTCCTTGGTTGTTTCCACTGACGGTGCCACCACCCTCGCCCGCACGTGAGCTGGAGACCCCGCGGGATCCTCAGTCTTCCCTTTCCCGCCCTCACGTCCGAGTGGACTGGCGGCCTCTCTGTGCCGCCCGGCCTGTCTTCCTGCAGCTGCCCCGTCACTGCTTCCGAGGTCCTGCCTCTCTGCAGCGGCCCTGCCTTCCCTTGCTGCTCCCCAGTGGGTTTCCTCCTTTGCTGCTGTCTGGTTTTCCCAGACGGCTGACCAGGCCCCCCGCCAGCGGTGTCCCACGGTGTGCCGGTGGGAGCCTGGGGCCTCAGGAGTTTCGTCCCTGCCCACCTCACTCCTCCCCTTTGTTCGAGTTCCCTAGAGCGGCTCCAGCAGCTGACTGCCACCACAGCACATCACCACAACGGAAGCTCCTCTCAGAGCTGAGGAGGTGTTGCCTGGGCTGGCTCCTTCTGAGGGGCTCGCAGGAGAACCTTTGGTGCTTCTCTGCCAGTTCCTGATGGTCGCTGGCCGTCCTTGGTGCTCCTGGGATGGGAGATCTCTCTCCAGTCCCCGCCTCCGCGGTCATGCGGCTTCTCTCCTGTGGGTCTCTTTGTCTTCAAGTGACCTTCTTTTGTGTGTGATGGAGTTTCACTCTGTCACCCAGACTGGAGTCCAGTGGCATGCTCACAGCCACCCCAGCCTCGACCTGCTGGGCTCTGGCAATCCTTCTGCCTCAGCCTTCCAAATAGCCGGAACTACTGGAGTGCGCTACCATGCCCAGCTAGTTTTTGATTGAATGTAGAGACAAGGTCTCGCCAAGTTGCTCGGGTGGGTCTCGAGCTCACGGGCTCAGGCAGTCCTCTCGCCTCGGCCTCCCAAAGTGTTGGACTGACAGGCTGAGCCACTGAGCCCGGCCAGGCGGCCTTCTTATAAGGCACAAGCCACTGAGTTAGGGCCCACCCTCGTTAGTTTGACCTCACCTTACCTCGTTCCCTAGCCAGATACCCGACGTCTAAACAGTGTCTCGTCCTGAGGTGTCAGGTGGGCGGGAGTTCTGGAGGAAGCCCTTCAGCCTAGCCCAGCCTTCCAGCCTCTGCTCTCTGCCCCTCACTGTGGGCTCTCTCACTGCTCTGGTGCTCCTGGGTGGGAGAGTTCGCCAGATGGACAGAAGAAAAGGACTTCAGATGAGGAAGGGGACATCAGAGGGCCACCGGGGGGGGGGTCTTCTCATTAGAAGGCTTGATTTTATTTCATGGCATTGCCTTCCTGCACGTTAGGACAGGGTTCAGGTGTTCCCTCTTGATGGCCTCCCCAGGGATTTTTCTCCTCTCTGGGTTCTTAGTGCGCACGTGTTTTGACCTGTCTCCCTCTGGCTGTTCCCCCCGGGCCTGTGGGATCCTGGGGCCGACTCAGCACTCTGCGTGGGGGCCATGCATCCAACTCGTGGTAGGTGCCTGGAGGGGTTTTCGAGTTCATGAACCCATCTGTGTTTAACCCCGAAAGCTCAGGTCACGGCATTTCAGAGGAGGAGCTGCGCAGTTCTGATCACACGGCTCTTTGCCTGCAATGAGGTGGAAGGTGTTTGAGCATGGAGGGAGGTGGCGCTGGCTCATGACTGGGGGTTCTGTTGCTCTGGCTGCAGGGGCTTCCAGAAACAGCACCCATGCTTGGGGCAGACAGACTGGAATGTGTGGAGCAACTGCTTGGCTCCACATCGCTCCGAGAAGTCTCCCTTTCCTGGGACGTCCTGCGGAGCAGTGTGATCATGGCTCGAGGAGGCCGATCGTCTCGGCCTGGCGTGGGTAGGCAGAGCGCTCGGCACAGAGCGACTCCCATCTGCAGGTGCTCTCAGCAAGCGCAGTGGCACCCCACGTTCCCTGTTTGGTTAAAAGGACTTTAGAGACCATGACTTAATGCTTCTTTGGAGTCTTATTTCCCCTTTTGCTACCTTGTTCCAGATTCTCTGAGGTCGCCTTTTTATTTTTATGGAGAAAACCAAGAGCTACAGAGGTGATCCGGACACAAGGATGTTTTAGGGAAGGCAAACCCTCAGTATGTAATACCTTTAAGCGTTTGTTTTTCCAAGTACCATGAGCTGTGCCGACCCATCCGCGGGCACTAATTACTGCACTACTCGGGCAGGCTAGAAAAATTGCCACAAAGTATAGACAGTCACCTATTGACGCAGGGGAGCAGTTTGAGGCGAAACACCATTATTCAAATAGCTTTTGAGCAAAAGTGACTCATAAAAATATGACGCGAGCCCAAGTTAGAAATGGTTTTCTCCCTGTGGTTCCCAGAGCAAATTGCTGGCTCTCTCGGCCGTAGAAGCAGCAGAAACTCTGTGCCATGCAGTCACGTTTTTAGACTAGTGGGCGCCCTTCGGAGAAGCCAGGGGTTGAGCGCACGCTGCCTCCTCCCACAGCCACTGTGATGATGGCACTGAGTCCAGCGCGCCACAGCCCGCGACGCGTGCATTGTGAGCAGCCCTCCACAAATTGGGTCGGTTGTTTTGAGGAGCCCCGTGCCGTGCCAGGACCCCAAGGGAAAGAGGCTGCCTTGGTGAGAGGGCTTTGCGAGGTTTTGGGCTGCGTGCTTCCGCCACCCTTTCCTCTGGGGTAGGCCTCCTCCTGTGGTTCCTGAGAACGTCAGGTCTGTGAACGCGGATCCGAAGATACACAACAGCTTTGGCTTTTGTTCACTTCTAGCAAACACGTGGTCCTAAGAAGGTGCCCAGGTAGGCAGCAGGCCCGCAGTGATACTGGCAGTGCCTGTGAGTTTGTCACCCCCAGGAATCTCAGACCTCTTAGAGCGCTGTTTCTCGTCACTGCTGTTAGACCGGCTGTGAGATCCTGTTTGATGTATCAGTAAAGAAGCGCATGCAGACTTGCTTTTTGATATTTTGACAACTGAGCGTCAGTAGCATCCATTTCGTCTGTGAACCTGTATGCGATATTGTGCACATTTAAAAGCATTTTTCATGAGTCGTGAGGAAGGACGGGGAACTGCCACAAAACTAGGGAGATCGGGGAGATGTGACAGCCAGTGGCAGTGGGTGCCCCAGGCTGGACCTAGGAACAGAAAGAGGACGTTAATGGGAAAACTGGGAACATCCAGGTAGGAGTGGTCCATGATCAAGTGCTGACGTCACTTCCTTAGTTTTGACAAGCAAATCATGAGATGTTAACAGTGGGGGACTCTGAGTGGGGGGGCTACGGAAACACCCTGGACTGTCTCTGTGGGTTTTCTGCACATCCGAAGTCACAGTGAACACGGCCGGGTGGGGTCTGGTGAGGGGTTTGTGTCCTGTGAAGACTCCCATGGCTCCTTCCGGCTTTGGCTTTGAGGACTCATGGAGACATACAGATCCCGAGCTAAGTTCTCCAGAGCAGTGAGTCACGCGAGTGTATCAGGCGAGGGGGCCATGGCTCTGGGCGGACGCCGGCTGCCGTGGTGGGGCCGCTGACAGGCGGTCTGCTCTGTCGTTCCAGTTCTTCCCCTACATCCTGCTGCTGTTTGCCATCCTCCTGTACCTGCCCCCGCTGTTCTGGCGCTTCGCGGCTGCTCCTCATCTTTGCTCAGACTTGAAGTTTATCATGGAAGAGCTTGACAAAGTTTACAACCGTGCAATTAAGGCTGCCAGGAGCGCACGTGACCTTGACCTGCGCGACGGAGCCTGCCCGGGCGCCGGGGTCGCCGAGAACGTCGGGAAAAGGTAACCCAGCCCCCAGGTGGCCCTCCCCTGCCAGCCGGGCCGGGAGTTCCCATGGCTCGTCGGTGTGGAGGGCGTGGAACGTGCCACCCACCAGGTGCCGCCTGTGTCCCGCCCCCACCGGTGTGTCCCAGCTCCTGGCCTTCTGTCGAGGCCCTGCCCCGCTGAGTGGCGGGTCACCCCCTCACCTCTTGGAACGCAATTCCTGCTGGGTGCAGGGTCAGGCGCTGTGGGAAGCCTGATTGGCCTGCCGTGTGCTTGGCTCCCTCATGGAGAATCGGAGGGGATTCGGAGGCCCTGAGCTTAGAGGGGGAAGGGAGAGAAGTGGGAATGATAGAGGAGAGCCCTCCTTTCCATGTTCCTTCTCCGGTTCTTGTCACTGGCAGAAGGGACAGCACTCTGAATAGCTGTTGCCTTTGAAACTTGGTATATCCCAGATGTGGCGTCGAGTATGGTGTCACTCAACTCCTCCTTTTTTCCTAGGTGAAAGCACTGTTCTATCGCAATAAGCTGGGACTACACCGTGTCTGTCAGGCCTGCAGCCTGTGCCCACACTCCCCAAGCTATTCCAGCCCTTGCCTGTCGAAGGCATTCCTGTTGCAGTTGGGCTGAAAATTTTTTCCCATATTCTGCATCCTCTAGTGGACAGTGGTCATTTTTTAAAAAAAAGCAGTTTCTGTTCAAGAACCTATACATGTATTTAACAGACATTTAGCATCTGCTAGGGGCCAGGTGTCATCCTAAGAATTCCCAAATATGAACTCGTTGAGTTAGCTAGGCCTTCTCTTAGACGTCCAGGGAGCAAGCATTTCAGTGCTGCCTTCCTCGAAGGCTCTGATGCAGTTATGGATCGAGAAGGATGGATGTTGAGCGGGTTGGGTGATGTGGTCACGTGTGTCTGTGCCTCTGATGGCTGGTGGCCCGGGCGAGCGTCTCAGTTGCTGTGTTTCCCTCTCCTGTAGCCTGTGGGAGATCTCCGAAAGCCACTTCAAGTACCCGATCGTGGAGCAGTACCTGAAGACCAAGAAGGCCTCGACCCACCTGGTCGCCACGTACGTCAGCTGCCGGCTGCTGACGCTCACCATCGTGCTGCTGGCAGGCGGCTACCTGGGCTACTACTTCAGCCTGTCCTCCCTCTCAGACGAGTTCGTGTGCAGCATCAAGTCGGGCATCCTGCGGAACGACAGCTCCGTCCCCGACCAGTTCCAGTGCAAGCTCATCGCCGTGGGCATCTTCCAGCTGCTCAGCTTCATCAACCTGGTGGTGTACGTCCTGCTGGCCCCCGTGGTGGTCTACACGCTGTTGGTCCCGTTCCGGCAGAAGACGGACGTCCTCAAGGTGTATGAAATCCTGCCCACCTTCGACGTGCTGCACTTCAAGTCCGAGGGGTACAACGACTTGAGCCTCTACAATCTCTTCTTGGAGGAGAATGTCAGCGAGCTCAAGTCCTACAAGTGTCTCAAGATCCTGGAGAACATTAAGAGCAGCGGCCAGGGCATCGACCCCATGCTGCTCCTGACCAACCTCGGCACGATCAAGGTGGATGCGGTTGATGGCAAGGCGCCCTCGTCCGCGGAGACGCAGGGAGAGCGGCCGGGGAGCCAGACAGCTGAGCTCAAAGGTAGGGGTGCACGGGCAGAGCAGCCGGCCTACCCGCAGAGTGCCTTTGCCACAGCCTTCTAGGACTGCGGCAGTCTCCACCCTGCCCGTCATTTAGTCCTTGAAAGCATCTCCAGGCGTGGCTGTGGCGGAGCCCCGCAGCACTGGGGGGAGGAGGAAGGCGTTGGGGTGTTCCACGTTCCAGAGGGGGGAATGCCTGTGCTTCTGCTGTGTGTCCTCCCTTCCTCCTCTCCCTCTCTTGGTCTCGCATTCTGCCTCTTGCTCTGGCATACCTCCTCCCTGCTGTCCTCCTTGCTTCTCGGCGCTGTGCCTTACTGGTTTTTCTCTCGGTACTTCTGGTCTCTTGCCTGTGGTCCTCTGACTCTGTCTTTCAGAAGGGCCTGAGAGTTTGTTATTTTGACAGTTGCCTTGACCTAGCTTCACTGTGCTCTGAAATTAGGCTAAGAAGCAGACCCGGTAAAGAATATGAGCTAGATTTTTAGCATAAGAAAAGCTGATCAGTACCGATAGCTCCGGCTATACTTCTGTCATAAATGTCTATTTTCAATTTTGACAGATCTGAGCACACAGAGTGAAACGAAAGCAAACAACGGAGAGACAAATGCGCGACAGAGACTTCTGGATTCCTCTTGCTGAGGTTTTTTTCCTTGAACTTCAAATCTGTGACATGGGATTCATCTTGGTTGAAGCACCCCTGCTGGGTTCACAGCTGGTTTGCAGTAAATCGCTCTTTGTAGAGATATCAAGTGGGTCTCGTTGAGTCCCTAGTGGAAATGACGGTCAACAAAATGTCAGGGAAGAATAGTTTGTGAAGCCCATTAGAAGCAACTCGAAGATAAGTGAACCGCAGCTGATAAATCTGTGTAAGTCCAGATTACGTGCAAAGTGGAAAGGCTAGTAGAAGTCAAGAGTAGAGCCCTTCAGAGTGCTGGAGAAGCGACCTTTCTTTGCCCATGGTGTGACGACCCAGAGCTATCGAAAGCAAGCATTTTGGGAGATTTGTTTTGTGAAAGAATAATAAATACATCGGGATTCAGTTGAACACAGATCTCTTGTGTGCCCTCATAGCTGTTAGACAAGAAAAGCATCCACTGGCAAATGGCCCATGGTTCAGCCTGTTCTTGGCAGTGTCCTGATGGGTGTTAATCGGGCCCTTTGGCGTGCACTCAGCGCTCTTTACACTGTTCCTTGTCCACCTCGGCTAACGGACACCCTCTGACCACCATCTGTGCGCTCTGCCCTGAGGGGCGGCAGGCACAAGCACCACTCCGACGACAACTCGGTTGACAAGATGGAGGCCTGAGGACGCTCACGGTGACTTCGGTTCAGGAGAGATGCTTCAGGTGGGGAAGTCTGAATTTGCAGAAGTTAATTCACTGACTTGCCAGGGGGTCTCGACCTGCAGGCCGTCCCTCTATCATCAGAGGCATCTGAAACAGGATTTGACTTAAACCGACAGTGACGGAACACCGAAATGTGGCCGGTAAGGGCCCGGCCGCCTGACGCGCGTCAGAGCCCGTGCTGACTTCAGAGCAGGTGGCGACACGGCGCCCTCCGGGCAGTGTGCCTGGAGCCAGAGCGGCTTGGCGTTTGTTTCGTGTCTATATAAGCGGAGCTTTTAAAAGGTCATCTTCACTCACCAGAACCGAGGCCACGGAAGGGAGCACGCCGGCAGCGACGGAGAGTTGCCGAGTGACGGTCACAGGTGGATTCACAAGACCAAGGCAGGCCTTTTTCATAGACGTTGAAGCTGACTCAGAGTATGTCGGACACTGCTTCTAATTCTGACTGTGCAAAAGGAGGCTGTGTTCGCGCTTCACACGAAAAGAAAACCCTTAACATCTGCAGACCTCCTCTTTTTATTCTTGGAAAGCGAACATGTTGCTGGAGTGAGTAATCCTCAGGGACCTCCAAGTTTACTGTGGCTCTGAGGGACGATTGTTTACCATTTTCAGTGACCGTTTCTTGAGAACGCAAGTTGCATAAGTTGCTGTCTGCCTTTCGGAATATTCAGAAAAGCAAATTGTATTTGTGCTTCCGTGACAGTTTCTGAAATGGAAAGCTAAAGATAATGGTAGATATCAAGGTTGTAATCAGTGCTTACATTATTCTTTATTACTGGTAAAATACAGTGTGACTTAGAAATAGCTGTGGCTTACATAATTGATTTTGCTAAATGTTTGTGTCGCTGTATCTGAGATGCTCCTTCACAGCTCTCTACACTGGTTTCCTTTGAAAATTTGAAAAGATTTATGAAATGTATTTTTCTAAGATACGATTTTTTCTTTCCCCAAAAAGCTTTATCGTCCCCATAGACTATCCCTAATTTGCATCTTAAGTGGCAAAAATGGATATTATATTTTAGGAGACCAGGACCTCGCCGAGCATCCCCACGTGTAATCCTTTTATCGAGAATTTGTGTAACTGGGGTCCTTGGCCTCCTTTTCAGTACGTTTTCCCATTCCTGCTCTCTGGGCTCTGGTGGGGTCTGTGACGTCCCCATGCCCAGTGCCAGGCTGGGTGTGCAGATACAAGGAGGCAGACCCCACTTCTGAGGACTTCGGGGTCCAGCAAAAGACAGTGGAGACATAGGCCGGTCCTAAGGGGATGCCAGGAAACTAGCAAATGGTCTGTGTTCCTGAGGGAGGCCCCCATGTTTCCTTCTCCCACAGATTCCATACTGATGGTTCTGCGAGTCTCGACGTAACTCTTCCCAGAGCCAGGGGACCCCCCCTAAGGTTCTTCAGCCACAAACCCCCTAGGTGGAGGTCTGGGCGAAGCAAGGACAGACGGGGAGTCTGAGCGGAAGGGCTCCGGTTGCCGTTTGACCCTGCCCTTGCAGAGACGGGAGAGCAAGCCTAGGGGGTGTTGAGTTGCTGCTCAACACCTGTGGTGCTCCAGAGGGCTGGTGCGATGCCTGGCCATCCGGTCCCCCTGGGGAAAGGTATGAGCAAGGCTGACGTGTGCATCCACTGCGAGTTGCTAGAGTCAGTGTCCCATGGGTGAGAAGGAATGCTTTCATAAAGTACTTGTTGCTTTCTGAAGACACAGACAGATTCTAAGTGACTGCTCTTGGGTTACTGACTTTTTTCCTGGCTCAGGGCTCCCTAGTAAGCCACAGGGCTGTAGACCAGACTCGTCACAGCGGTGTCGCATGGCACAGAGCGTGCTGAAAGCAGCGTTCCAGCACCCTTTCAGCTTCATCACAGGTCAGGCAGAGACCTCCAGGGTAGAGGCCCTTAAACCCTTTGCAGATATTGTAGGAGTGGTGGGTCCTGTCTTGAGATGTACATTCAGCATTTTGAATACACCTTCAGAGGATGTCTGTGCCACGGAGTGTAGGAAGCTGAGTTCCAGCAGCTGGAGAGCAAGCCACGTGGTGAGAACAGGCTCCCCTGCCCCTGAGAAGGCTGCTGCTTCCAGACTGGCGGTGTGTTGTGCTTCGTCCAGTCATGACAGCACACTCTGCCTCTCAACTCACTGCCTTCATTTCCAGAGTCAGACTGAAGAGCAAACAGGAAACAGAGGGAGTGGCAGCGGGCTTGGACGGACCAGGTGGCCAGTGTTTTCTCTCTGGCCACGGGCGCCATCTTCTTCCAGATTCAAGTCGTTGTCCCTCCTGAGCCTCACTTGAGCGTGGCGCTTGACTAGGAACCTCCCCCTCCGCACGGCGGGGCTGGTGTGTGTGTTTGTGTTTTGTTTGCGCATTCCCTCCTGTCCAAGGGGGAGCCCGGGTGGGATCGGCAGGGCCCCTGTGGCCTTTGTGCTTATGAAAGTGAGTCAGTTGTAGGAGATGGGTTGCTAGACACCTTTTTAAACGTGCTCGTGATTGGTTTATTTGGCTTACTGACATCCAGGGCGCGTTGAAGATCTGTGCGAGTGGGACTTCTTAATTCACTGCTTACCACAAGCTCCTAAGCAGGGCCTGGCCTGGACTGGGCGTCCTGTAAGTATTTATTGGAATGAACGAACAAGCAGATTGCTAGGATACATCCTAGTGTGCTGGCAGCTGTGATTTGATTTCAGAAGGCTGTGGTCCTCTGCAGGAGAAGGGAGGGGAGGGTCATTTAGCCTCTTGGTACAGAGAGAAGTGTTTCTGCAAATGAATAGCTTTCCTTGAGTAGTGACAGTCCTTAGCTTTTTATTGTGAAGTGAGTCGTGACCACTTTCCAAGTTCGATGCAAGTTCAGTGTTGACTTGCAATGATTAGGGAAATTGGAGTTTCAAAGGTCTTGTCTCAGTAATTCCCCTCTCGAAAGAGGATCTTGATTGAAATGTACAGTTACTAGAAATTGAGGTTTTATCTGAGGTCATCAAGATGAAATGGTTCCTCTGGGCCATCATTGGCATTTTGGCCCTGTTTTTCACAAGTGGAGTGTTTTAAAAAGATTGACAAAGAGGATGTTGTGTCATGTGGGATGTACTAGATGTTAATTTGTGATTGGTTTTCTTGCCTGCTTCAAATGAAGTGTATTGTGTTTCTGGATTCTTCTTTTAGCTGTAAAAATACTTTGCACTAAAACATGGGACTTATTGTTCTTCAAGTTCTTGAAGGTTTTTCATGCCTTGAGTGCTTTTTTTCCCTGCTTGCCAGAGGAGAAATGTCTTTGTAGAGCTCTGCAATAGTACAAGTGTTCCCTATGAAAACTGAAACCATCAGCTCCTCTCTTTAAAAGCACCACAATTGCAGTTTAATGGCATTCTATAAAGGGGTGCTGTAGGCATAATTTAAGTTCTTTTTAATGGCTAAATTTCTTCAAAACTTTTAAAGAAAGAAATGTATGTTCTTTTGCTCTGTCACTCGTGAGGATATTGCCAACAGATGGAGAATGACTTTATAAATTAAGACTGTCTTGGTTTCATGCCACAAAGATCCAAAGAGAACAAATCATGGTGTTAGGAAACGATTCTTAAACACACACACTCAAGAGTCCTGAAAGCTCTGCCTTTTGGTGTTTGTCACTTTTCTACTTCCAACTTCCATGTGAGTCACTTAGCCAAGATCTGCCTTCTAATCATGTGGACTTTCATTTAAGGAGGGAGGAAAGGCTGAAAATCAAGGCCGTTGTGTCCGTGAAGGTGAAACGATGTCTTAGTTCTGTGCCGTTGTGTCCACCCCAATAAAGCATCTCTGAGTAATGCAAAAGGTATCACTATTTCTTGCCTTCCCTTTAGGGAGCATTCTTTCATGGATGGTGCAGCATCTCAGGGCCCATTCCTCTCTTGTGGTTCCATAAAATTCAGGAGGCGCTGTGCTGCTTGTGGAAATCCTGCTGGCAATAAAAAAGGGGAAGACAGTCCGCGAATGAGGGCTCGCAGATTCTGGAATTTCTAAAGCACCAACTGTGTGCTTTCTGACTGAGGATTATCTACCTGGGCTTGGGAGAGTAGAAGCAGCCATGGGCCACTAGACTCGGCTGGCTTGCCCACCTCTCCCAGAGGAGGATTTCTTGGTCCAGTCCTCAAGCATTGCAGCTCACTGTTGTGAATAATCAGGACTACGTGAACTCTTAGTACAGTGCCTGGCATGTGGTGAGTTCTCGATAGGTGCTGGCTTCAATTAGCATCACTACCTTTTGCTCACCAGCTGTTCCCCAGGGTGGCACTCCCAGGAATTCTGGGTGTTGTGTTAGTTTCCATAACAAATTATTGCAAAGGTAGCTGCATAAAGCAACCTATATTTGCCATCTTGCAGTGTTCTGGGTCGGGAGTCTGGAGGCAGCTCAGCTGGGTCAAGGTGTGGACAGGCTGTGTTCTCATCTGGAAGTTTGACTGGGGAAGGTGCTGCTTCCAGACTGCTTCAGGTTGTTGACAGAATTCATTTTGACCAAATCAAAATCAACTGACTTGGGACTTTAATCATATCTGCAAAGTCCCTCCACCTCTGCTATATTATTTTGGCTAGAATCAAGTCCCAGGTCCCACCCACACTCTCAGCAAGAAGATCGGGGGGCACCTTGGGCTGTGTCAGCCACAGGAGTTGTCCTAAATCCCAGCCCGTCTGTCCTGGAGGCCGGTGGTCCAGCCCCTCGACAGCCTTCCGAGGCCTCTCTCCATGGCCAGTGCTGTCAGCCAACCCCTGTCACTCCCGGGTTCCTCTGATATCTCAGCGTGTCTCCCCGAGCTTCCATATTCCTGTCTGTGGGCTCTTCAGAAGGCAGATTTGGTCATGCCAACCTCCCCACCATGTCACCATCACCACGTCTCGATTCCTCAGGACTCTCCACGGGTTTCAGATCAAGAATAGACTTGGGGTCTGGAAGACACAAGGCCCCACCTCCCGCTCCTCCCGGTGCCCCCAGCATCTCGCCTTCTGTTTGGGAGTCAGCTCCCCTGCCCTGCAGGAAGTCCCTGTCACCTGCCCTTTGCTCCCGTGTGGATGCTGCTCCTCGCCCCACTGCTTCTGCCTCAGTGCTCAGTCCCCCACCCCGGCAGCATCGAGGTGGACGTGAACGCCCCGATGGCCACTTCTGTGTTGCCCACTCGAGGGGGCCGGGCACAGCGCATCCTCTGGCTCCCTCCACCTTGGTGAGCGAGGGCTTGACTGGGGTCCTGCCGAAACCCCCGTCGACCCCATGCTGACTTGAATCTCAGTGGCCGCATTTCCTCTCCTGGGGTTCCTGCATGCACCACCTTCTTTGAGCCCCACAGCTGGCGTGCTGTCGATCTAAGACAACACCACTGCGGTAAAAAGTGACCCGTTTCTGCTCAGAATTTGTGCCCGGCCAGGGAAGAGGCCCATCCCAAGACTTGTTCCCCCACCCCAGACTCACTCCCGCCACCACCAAGGGGGGAGGGCAGGAGGGCTGGGGGAGAAGCTGAGCCGGAGGCCGCTTCCGTCCCCTCCGCGCGACGACTCCTAGACACGGAGCTGCAGACTCCGGGGCCTTGCCGCCTCATGCCTGCCTCTCTCGGCTCAGTGTCCATGCTCTGAGTTCCCCCCGTTGAAGGTGGAGGGCCCCGAGGAGGAGCAGGCATCCCTCTGTGTGCACCGCAGCCGGAGCAGAGCCTCCGGGAGGGTGAGCAGCCCAGCCCCTGAGGGAAGGAAAATCACAATGTCGCCCGAGAGCCTGGCCAGCGTTTCGTTGGGCCTTTCCTGAGACGCAAGGAAATGAACGAAGGCGCTGTCAGACATCACAGCCAGCTCTCCAGAAGCGAAATCTGCATCGCCTCAGGAAGGAAGGAACTCGATAGTGGAAGCTGGGCTTTCATGGAAAGTTCCGGAATGTGAAAGGAGACGGTCCAGCGGCAATTCGGAGGCG